CTGTCCTGCCCCCCAAGCCCCAGTGTAAGCTCCAAGGCAAGGGGTGCTGAGCTCCTGGCCAGGTTTCTGCCCAGTGGGGATGTCTACTCACTGCTCAGACCCTACGCCCAGCAAGTTAAAGCTCAGGTAAGATTCTCCCTGCTGGTAGGAGAGGGAGTACAGGGGGAAAAGGGCCAGAAGCCATGGATTATCTGGGTTCTGCCAGGCTGGGACCTGGTAGGGGCATGGGCACTGGTGCCACGCTGTGTTCCCATGCACCACTTCAGGCTGCACCATGTGGGCACAGCTGGAGTGGCTGGGGCAGGCCCTACTCGACCCTGAGTCTCTGACATGCAGCTGGGTTGGGCAGGAGCTGTGCCAGTTGCACCCACATGGCCTAAAGTGGCACACAGGAACACAGTATGTCACCAACCTGGCTGCGTGCCAGGGACTCATGGAAGGGGTGCAGGAAGAAGGGGGGAACAGTGCAGCATTGGCTTGGCCAGGTCTGGATAACCTACAGCTCCCTTCTTCCTGCACCCCCTCTCTCCTCCCTTCCCCCTCCTGCCCCCCAAGTCCCTGGCACATGGCTGGGCCAGGCCAGTGTTGCACAGTATTCCCACGCACCACCTTGGACCACATGGGTGCAGCTGGCACAGCTCCTGCCCGACCCGGCTGCCTGCTGGAGACTTGGGACAGGGTGCATAGAGAAAGGGGCTGGGAGCCATGGGTAATCTGGGCCCAGCTGGGCCAGTGCTGCTCTCTGTTTCCTCTCTTCTCCCTGTCCTCTCTCCCCGACCCTGAATCCTTGGCACACAGCCAGATTGGGCAGGAGCCACGCCAGTTGTACCTGTGTGGTCCAAGGTGGTACATGGGAACCCACTGCAGCACTGGCCTGACCGTGTGCTGGGGACTCGGGGTGGGGCTGCAAGGAGAAAGGGGGAACAAAGGTTAGATTCCCCTAACCTTTCCTTAAGTGGCTGGAGGGACACAAGGAGTTTTGGTGAGCTGTTGCCAGGGAAGGGGGTCCTGACTTAGCCCGTGACAGCTCACCTAAATTCCCTAAGTGACCCTCTGGCCAAATTAATTGTCCACCCCTGATGTAGTGCAATCCCCTACCTATCCAATCTATCCCATACAAGTCCATTGTCTAATCTATTAGCAAAACTACAGTCAAACCCTAACAGCCACAAAACGAAATACCTTAAACTGCCATAGGTAAAGAAAGGGAACAATGGTGGCCAATGTCCTGCTGCTGGGATGGTTGCTAAAGTACTCTTGAGAGACACAAGGAAGAGGGTCATGCCCCTGCTACAAAGAAAGGCAAAAACCTCCACTGTCCATACCAATATGATCAGAAGATAAAATTCCTTCCTGACCCCAAATATAGCGATCAGTCTGACCCTGAATAGAGGTGCAGGATCTTCTAGTCAGGAACCTCTGTTTAAGTCTCAGCAGCAGCATTGCTATCCCCCTGTTAAAATCCCCAACCCTGGCTGCAACCAATACCCAGTGCTTCTGAGAAAGGCAGAAAAAACAAACAAAAAACCCTGACACGTAAAAGCAGGAGCGGAAAAAATATTTTTCCTGGCCCCATGTGGCAATCAGCAAGACCCAGAAGCATGGGATAGCTTGGTTTGTTCATAGGAATGGTTTTATTCTCTGGGTACAGACAGCAGCTTTTTTGGCATAGTAGCCTCCAAGCTAGAGACACTTGGCTAGTACAATACCCTAGTGTTCCTTTACCAGTAAAGCCCCTTCACAACACTAGTGTAAATGCAGCTTAGCTGCAAGAGCGCTTCTCTCCCTCCTTTTTTTTTTTTTTTTTTAAGTGATATCACTTCAAGTCCACTCGGACCTTTTGTTAGTATAACGACATCATGAAGGAATCACACTCCTACATGACATAACTTTGCTGGCAGAAGTGTCTACTGTAAGCCAGGCTCTACTCTGTTTTTAAAAGAGAGAGAGTGCAATACAAGCTGGTAGCTTCAGATGAATAGTGGTACAACATACTGGAATATACCCACTCTTGCTAATCCCTGCTATTCTAGTCTTTAATTTTCTAATACTGAACCTAGGTGAGCCCTACTATAGATATATTATAATAAAGTATCAGTATAAGTTAGTGGGTTAAAACCCACCCCAGCAAGCCAATGGGTGTGTATTTTGTCTTACATTTCTTCTTCAAATACCTTGTTTGCACTTATAATTCCATATCGTGACTTGCCATATCAGGTTTTGCAACATGCCTGGCAATTCCATATTGCACCATGCAGAATCCTGCTACTGGTCTTCACAGTATTCAAAAGTTGATAGTGGTGGAAAGTGTAAGAAAAAAACAGTGCTGTCTCCCACAATTCTGATCTCCTTTCCTTAGGCTGTGCTACCAACTTACTGTTTGGACTTTTTTAAGTCATTTCATTTCTCTTTGTTCCAGTTTCCTTACTTCAAGAGGGTCCTGAGATATTGATGTTTAGTGTGTCTGAGAATCTTAGATAGACTGTGTAAGGAGGGCAAATTGTTAATTAACCAAATGGTAACAATTTGTCCTCTCTGCACATCTGGCCTGGAGTTGAACCAATGATCCATAGATTAAAAGTTTGCATACAAGGAAATAACCTATAGTTATTCCTCCATAGCTCCTTGTGTTCTCATTTTATTCCACACTAAGGGCTTCTCTACACAAGGACAATTAGGAAAATTAATATGAATTAACTGAAGGTGTGAATTTTTCAATTAGCTAAACTGCCCTGCACCCCTGCGTAAGCACTCACAGTCAGAACTGAGGTGGGTTTAATTCACTTTCACTTAATGCATTCTGGAAATAAAGTTAGCTAAATTGAATTAGGACCACTTTAATTTTCAATAAAAGTGATATAGTCATGCAATCTAACTAATCAGCTTTAAAAGTTAATTCAGATTAACTTTACTAAGAATGCCTTTATGTGGATTAGTTTAGTCCACTTAGGAAGCAGCAAAAACTAACCTGGAAAAGGGCATAATTCTTTTTACTAACCCCTGCTCAAGAAAGCCAGTCCCCTTTATTGCCTTAACCTGGGCAACCACCTTAATCATTATATTCATTACGCAATAGAGTGCTAAATAGCTACAAATAACCAATTTGCTCTCCAAGTTCGGTTGCTAATCAATAAACTACAATAGTTTATCCCAATGTCTTTATTAGTGTATTTTGAGTACTAGACTCCTAGCCAACTCAGATATCTTGTTTCTCCAAAGTGCAACACATTTATTTTCCCTTCATTAAATGGCTCTGTAGGATGTAAAGTTAATAGGGTGAAATAAATATCCAGCAACATTAAATGCTGACCTGCTGTTCTGAGCTATGGCTATTTTAGAGTATATACCTGTGATCCAGTTTGAATTGTTGTGCTGCTCTGAAATATTTCTTCCTTCCTTTACTAAAAAAAATAAAATAAATGTTAAACAAAACCTTAATGTGTGTTATTTGCTTTGTCTTCCACTCTTTGCAGTTTTATAATTCTAATAGTTCATTTTATGTAGTAACTCAAGCCCTGATTCAGAAGCACTTAAATGTGTGGTTATAAAGTGAAAGAGTACCTGTTGGAGATCAAGCATCATTCTTAATATTTTGTATGCTCTGATAACAGAATGTCACACCTGCATACTATAGGATTTTAGATCACCTTAAAAATCCTTTATGCGAACCCCAAGATCACTCCATAGAGTAGGTAAATATGGTAAGAGATATGAAGCACTAGAACAGGACTCAGGATGTCTTGACTGAATTTCCTGCTTTGCTACAGGTGCTTTGTGTGACTTTGGGCAAGTCACTGAAACATGGATTTGCAGAAAAGATCAGCTTGGATCCCCCAGCCTACTTGGGAACCTTTAACTTGAATGGTTAATTGGTTTCCATTTAAAATTTGTATTTGCCCAGGAAAAAAATAAGACACTTATTAGAAGAATGGAGAGACCAATGGGGAAATCTATGTGGGAATGGAGGGTAGTTTCTAGTGGGAAGAGTCATGCCTTGTAAAATATTCCTGATCTGCCTCTTGGATGGTAACAACCAGTCCATAATCCAGACATCCAGCTATTTAAGCATTCAACTGTTAAAGCAGAAACTCAGGTAAAACTCTGGTGCAAAAGAGGCCAGAGGTATCTTTTCTTTATTTTCTGGCCAAGGTTTCTTCCTACAACTGGAAGAAGAATCATGACTGACAAATGGTGCCCAAAATGACTCCCCATCCCTCCTTGGTATGGTGCTGGCAACAATTTTATCTGTAGGTTTAGCCACCTGAACTTTTTAGCTATTCTAGCAAAGTGTACTAGTAGGCATCATGTTCCATTAGGCATCCAGCAAGCTGTATGGTGCAGGTTACAGCCTGGTGTGGCAGCGAGGGGAGTGAATGGATACCATTTCCGACACCCTGCATCAGCCCAGCTCAGTTTTCTTGTTTTCTGGACACCTTACTTCACCTTCCAGTCATCACTTGTAGAACCATGCACTACACAGCCAAGGTCATGCAGCAAATCTTTCACCTGCCATGCAGGTTCGGGATGTGCCCCTTAGCATTCTGATGGAGCAAAGAGCCACAGCCTTAAATACACATTTGAACTAGCAGATAAAAAGAAGCTTTCTCCAAAGATAGGAGGCAATGAAGGTGCTGAGCTGTTGGGAAATGGCCCCATCACCATGTCACCCCTGACTAATTCCACCTGAGTCCTGGACTCATTGCTCCTCCTCATAGAATTCAGTTGTGCTTCTCCTTCTCATTGCTTATAGATGAAGGCTGTCAACTTTCTGCAGACAAGGTTATTTGGGTAAATCTGATATCTTCCATTAGACCAACTAATAAACTAAATAATAAAGTAAAGTTGGTCTAATAAAATATATTGAATTTACCTAAAGAACCTTGTCTGCCTATGTCCTTAGACCAACCCAGCTACAACCTATACCCCTGTTAACTTTCTGCAGCACTTCACAGTCAGATGGATATGCTCCAGCACCTGTTTAAAGGTTTGAGACTTTAGGAAGGTGAAGTGACCTAGGATCACCCAACAGAAGCCTGGAGGTGGCGTGCTTCATATAACAAAGGGCTAGTCTATAAGGAGAAGAGAGACCCAAGATAAGAAAAGGGACTGGCTGAAGCAGCCAGCCAAAAGATCTGGTGGTAAGTACCCACAGGAAGCAGCAGCAGAAGGCTTAATAGAAGAAGGAGCCTGTAGGTCCTGCTGCCTGGTTCCTGACTATCAAAAAATCACTTGTGAAGATTTGAAGTGAATTGCCATTGAATGCTGAAGTTATTTTAATAAACCAACCTCCAAGAAGAGGCAGTTTTGCCTCATGAGTGCCTCTATGCAGTTACTGGGGACCTTGCAAAGAGGACAATCTAACTAGAGACTGCTCCTGAGACAGTAGGATCTTTGGGATTCCAGGCTCCATAAGCAGAGAGTCTGAATGCAATGAGAAGCTGGAGATGATGCAGTTCACAACTGATGCTATTACTGAGATGCCTGGAATGGACAAGCACCCCTTCCCTTCCCCTCCATGCCCCATTGTCTGAGGGGTGGTGTGCCACCGCCCCTTTAGGAAATCCTGAATCTGCCCGTGACTGGGTTCACACACAGGGGTTTAAGACAAATGTTCCAAATCTGGTTCAAATCCCTGACCCCGAAGCTTGGAAAAACAAATTTTAACTGGGGGGCTCTAAAGTGAACAAACTTCCTCACTTGCAACCCAAAGCAGTTAAATTTCATCTACTAGAAAACCAACCCGGGAAAGCTAAAACCTAGCCCAGAAAGGGATATTATTCACCAGTGGCTGCCACCTGGTGGCTCTACCACCTATGCCAGCCAATAGTGACAGGTATGGAGGCCCACCCCAGAGGACCCTGGTGCTCCTCACTGACAGAGGTTGCTGCTCTGGCTCCAGGGCTTCTCCTATCTATGCCAGCCAAAGTAGTAGGTGCTGGGGAGGGAGGCTTGCACAAGAGTTGCTGCCACGCTGCTGCTGTGGAGCACTGCTAGGGTTTGCTGCTCTGGCCAGTGGCATATGATGTTCATTGCTCACCTGGGATTGTGGGGTAAGGGGTGGAGCAGATCCTGTTGTACATAAATACTGGGTGCAGGGCTATGTCTGCTCTGGCAAAGGCTCCCCAAGGGGGAGGAGGGACAGAGGAGCACAATTCTTCTCAGTCCACATGCCCTTCACCCCCCAGGTACACTGTTTGGTGCAGTGCTGCCCTGCACAGCTCTTATGGTTGAGCAGGGGCAGCATAGGATTGCCCCTATCATGGCAAAGACTCCCATCCAGGGCGATCCTGGCATCCCCTCATAGTTGGCGCTTGAGGCAGCTCCCCCTTGGCTGCACAATAGTTATACGACAGGCTCCAGCTAATGATGGATGTCAAACACCATTCCTTCACCACCACTCCCAGGGGTCACTCACTGGTCCTCTACATGTTGCCTAAAACACAGGCTTGAGGATTTTAGATTTGTTACCTATGACTACCAAGTTTCTACATGAACCTTCTATAGAAACTTGGGTTTGCAAGCACTTTCTTTTTCAGAGGTTGTTGAGCCAGAAAAAAAGACTCCTGTTTGGAATTTCTCCTCCTACTTAAACACTGACTCTGCACTAAAACTGAGGGTGACCCCATTGCAGAGCTCTGAACAGCTTACAGTAAGTGCTGACCTTTCTCTGACCTTTGCATAGCTTTGCATTAGCAATATGCTGGGTGCCTTTACAGTTTTGGGAGGGAGGGTCAGGGGACACAAAATGTGATCCACCCACCTTTTACAATTGCACACTTTAACCCCAAACAGTATATCCAGACCCACAAACAGTGAAAACAGGTGTGAGTAGCCACCAAACCTCCGAACATGCACACTAATGAAGGTATGCAGAGAAAGAATACATTGTTTATTGGCCATTATAGACCAGAAGCATAGCTGAACAACGTGTGATGTTTTGAATAATACAAGTGGGAAACATGGGTGGCTGCCTAGGATGCTGTGATCAGGGGGGTGCCACACAGACGCGTGCATACACACGCACACGTGTGTGTAAGCAACCCATGCTTACAGCAATACTCTCCCCACGCCCTGGCCAATCCCTGCCCCAGGGAGGAGGAGCGGTGCCTAGCCCATGCCCTGCCTCCAGCTGCTGCTCAGGAGGAACCGGCTTGGGCACATGCAGGTGGGGTGGCATGTGCACCACTCTGCCCACCTTACTCCCGCCCAGGAGCAGCACTGTTTTCCCATGGGGAAGCAAGTTTCCTGATCCAGCCCAGCAGCTGTCCCTGGGGCTTTATTTCTGAAACTTTCACTAATACCACTACATACTTAAGCTCAAAAAAAGTGTGCCAAAATACAAGCTCACCCAGGGTGCCATTTTTCCTTAGGGCACCATTTTCCCTAAGGCTGCTTACCTACACATTACACCAAACCCAGCCTCACAAGTGAAAGCAAGGTGCCTCACCTCGTAAATGGTGAAAGCAAGGTGTCTCAGCTTGCATCTACATGTGCACACATTAAAGTGCATTAACGCCGTGTGTGCAGACTGATATGGGACTAAAATTAGTCTCAAGTCAGTCCATACACAGCGTTAATGCGCCTTAACGTGTGCTTTAGTTATTTGCCCCGAAATTTGAAATATGCTTTTGTAGTTATCAAATTTAGGCACAAATAACATAAACTCACCATTTTTAAGGTGCATCAAGGGCTCACACATGTAGACACATGCCCTTAATGTGCCTTAAATTGGGCTAAAGCACCTTAAATCAAATGCACCCTCAGAGTTTAGTACATCCTGCCCACAAGAAGTGCAGGCTTAGAATGCTGAGACAAGCTTCTTGTGAGCATTTGTATGTCTTGCTTATTACTTGATTGAGTATCTGATATCAGGACACACCAGCCCTTACTCTGTTTGTATCTCACAAAGGACCAGCCATTTAACCTCCCCCTAAATGTCCCCATAAAGGAATAGGCTTTGGTGGAATGATGTGGCCCAATTTTTTTCAGCTTGATCAAGCCAAAGTATATGCAGATACAAAGAGTTACTTACATGAATGTGAAGCAAACAGATTCCACCTCTAAAAAACACTTAAAATAACAGTTAAGAGGGAGGAGAAACAAAGGCACTGAGCCAGGAGATGGGACCTGTGAGTTCTATTCCCAGCTCTGCGGCTGATTCCACCAATATCAGGCCTGAAGGCAACCTAGGAGGGCCTACTCAGGGCAGAGTAGTTAGCACTGTTGTGTGACAAGGCCAGTTAGCCTACAAATAAGCTCATCAGCATAGCTGCATGGTTCTGGCTACACTGCTGCTTGTTTTGAAAATAGCTTGTCCAGAGCAGTGCACTGGGCATGAAGGCACTAGTGCTGAGAACAGTAAATTTAACATGTAGGCAATGGTCAATGGTGGTGGAAAGAAATCAGGGCAATCTGCAATGTAGCTTTGGACCTGCCCCACAAGGATCTGGCAGTGAGTCCATATTACACATGCTAAGGGCCCATGACTTGAATGCCATGGGATTTAGATCGATCAGTGCTTTAATAACAGGGGCATAGCTAGCTATTTTGGAACCATGGGCAGAGCAGGAA